TTCACCCCGATTGCAGGGTGATAGTGTGCCACTTCCGTGCCGTCTTGGCACGGAGGCCTTAAAGCTAACGCACGCAGTAGCATGGCAACCAGCAGTCAGTCGATCGTAGCCGGCACGCCCTGAACCCGTAGTAGTGACGTCCTAAACAGAAGATCTGACAATAGCGTCTGAAGGAGCGTTCATAGGAAGAAAATTGGGTTCGGACACCCTCAAAAGAGACGCAATCTAGTCCGTTGTCTGGCGCGAAGGGCTTGGAAAATCTGTTCAGATGACAGCGTTGGCAAGGTTTATCCTGTCGCCCGCTCTCTTCAACCACGCTATTGACCGAATTCTTGGGGGGGGCCTACACGAAGATGGCGGTGTTCAGTTTGCACCCGGACACCGGCTGACCGATCTCCAATATGCCGAGGATATCACCTTGCAAGCTCCAAGTTTTGGTGATCTGCAGTCTAAGGTGTCACGGGTGAACAAGGTCGCTAAGTCGGTTGGTTTATCCATAAACGCTGAGGAGACCAAAGTGTTTTCAAGCTGCATCCCTGACCAGGAGAAGGCACCTCTCGACATTGATGGCTGGAGGTATTTCACCACCACTGCTTCAGGACCATTCTTAACGCGAAGCACATTGAGTTTGTCTCAAATGAGACAGTTCGCAAGGATGACTCAGGCCATCCAAGAGACGATTTAGGTGGTTTGGGCATGTTCTTCATGAGCTCAATGTTACTGCTCTCGATCTGGCACCGCTACCCTTTTGGAGGCGTCGAAGAGGGGGTCAACTCAAAACCTGGCTCTACACAGTTCGTCAAGACATGGAGGTGGTTCTTGGACCTTTGACACTCGGTCTTTGTCGCTGGCAAAATGAATGGGTTGAGTTTTCCAGACCTGCCTCCGCGGTTCGTCGCGCGTGGAGGGGTACAGTTCGGGAATTTTTCGAGGCTGGCTAGATCAGGCATGTTCGCAACTTAGGAAGATCCAGAACCAGATTCGCAAGAACGGATATTCGGGCGGATTTATTGCAAATGATATTATAGAGAGGCTAGAAAACACATCACATGACATTGAAGAATAAAATGTTTTCCAACTCCCCCATTTAAGGCGAAGCGGCGTGTGAAGTCCTGAGGAGACACTTTGACCAAACTGTTTTACGAACCTTCCGGGCAGCAAGAGTTCGGACATTATTCTCGACCAACCCTAATTATACGGAGAAGGTAGGGATAGGTTATCGGCTCAGATCACCTCAATGCACCTTCACTGTTTTACCTGCTCCTGTGGAACAGGTTTTATTGGTCGCACGAGCTGGTGCCTATCTAGAATAATAGGGGAACACCTCCTGGATGCGTGCGAAAAGGGAAAATTAGGAACATGCGCATATTGTCGATTCTGTACATCGTGTGGACCCGACCGAAGCCTTCCGTGTGATATACAAAGTCAACTGAACTACCTCTAACTACTGGGTCAACGTCTGCTAGCCACAGCAGAGGCGACTGCCGTCAGGTTACGCAATCAGATAAGAGCATGGCCAAAGGTCGGTTACTGCAGGCACTTCTCCGCGCCATCCCTCTCCTCCCTGACACGGTTCTTCCTAACACTCGCTGCCTTTTTATTTCCCCCTTCGTCTTCCTACACCCTATTTGCGAGAAAAGAAAGGCTTTGGTGAATTCCTCTAATCATTGATGTGTTTTTTCTCGATCCCGTTTCCATGCGGATGTACTGGTCCGACGAGAAATGATCGAAAGCAAACCTGTGATCGCAACTAATATTATGAAGCCAGAAATTGTTATTCCACTGTCCCCATCGCTTCTCGCTGGCAAGTGTCGGTCATAAGTTATAAGTAATTAAGTTCTGACTTCGGAGTGACGTTCGCTGTTCGCAGGACCGAATACTGTCATTAATTTCTGGACGGGGGCCCGTTCTTAATCCCCGCCATGCTGCCATCCCAGTCCCCCTTCTGGGTAAAACGTCCCGAGTTCATTCCTGCGCCATGACTTTTCGAGCGCACTTGACTGGTTTCCTCAGGCGTTTTAACAGCCATAGGCTCTTCCCGTCAATAAAATTGCGGTGTTTTGATTGGCTAAAAAATAATCTCGATTTGCGAATGACTTTCTGTCCTGAACCCACTCATAGGACTAAACTTGGGCGAGAATTCTCTTTGATCTGTGGAAGTGATCTTTTCTACTCTTCCAAGCAACCCAAACTAGGACAAAATTTCTTCCAAATAAGTGCTTCTTAAAGTACTTGATGATGAAGTGGAAAATAATGGAGCTCTTAAATTTTTGGCTAATTAACGTCGCCTTTTTAACGAACAGCAAGGGGGTAATAAGGTGCCTTTTAGACCATTCACAAGTGATGTCGTGGCAAAATAGAATTCATGGGACATCATGCCCATGCCTTTCCGTTTTCGTCTCTCATGCAGTAACTTTTAAATCAAACCCGTTTTTGCCCTTATTTACTTCTCCAACTTTTTCTTCCACTGACAGGGAATTTGTAAAGGCAGTTTTCAGTCGACTTTTTGTGGAACCGAATCCACGGTTTATTCATTTATGCCAACCACTTCTTTCTAAAAGTAGTAGGACTGACTTGTATGGCCCCCTAAACAGGGCATGGGAATAGGAACCGCCCTCAATACAGGTGGCTCTGAGCCAACTTCTACTGAAATTAGGGTCAGGTTAAGGACTAGGTTTAAGGCTATATTTATAGTTAACAGTAAGAAAGCCAGGATCAACTGTAGGGTTGTGTTAGAGATTAGTGTTAAATGCAGATTTATGGTTTAGGGTTAAGACTAGGGCAACGGTTTAGTTTTATATTGGGGTTATTGTTGGGGTTAGAACACGGGAATATTTTACCCTTTTCGGAATTGTGCGCAGGTCCACCTTTATTACTTGGGCGGGCGTCCTTATTCCCATATCCTGTTTAGGGGGCCATATAAGCCAATCCCACCCTAAAAGTAACTAGGTAACCTTCATGTAAAACACAAAATCAGGACTTCGAATTCTCCGCAATATTCACAAATTCCTGCGGCAGAAATTGCGTCTGCATTTTTGCTGCAAATCCGTTTGTTCTTTGTTCCATGCGTGCCGCTATTGTAAATAAAAGGCCATTCCACGGAAATTGTGAGACCTGGATCTGGGAACGACACGATTTATTACCAAGAAATAAAACGAGAATGATTTGGCTTTTCGGCTGCTCACCCTCTTTACCGGCAAAGTCCCATGTGGTCGTTGTACAGCTCTCAGCACGAAGTCGTCCAATCGTTTCCTTGGCAAAAAAACTCTGGGCAATCGAGAGGAAGAAGACGCAAAGTCATAACGGTGACTCACGGGTGAATTTCTTCGTAGTTGGGTGGAGGGGGGGGGGAAGAAGATTGGACGACATCTGCTTCAACCTTCCCTGTCAGTACTGTCTTGTTTCAGTCGCAGAGCCAAGTCCAGACTAGAGGTGGGCGTGGGCGTGGTAGCTAACCTGGTTGAGCCCGTATCTGCGCGTACCACGCAACTGACGGTCTATACACGCATCATTTGAACCTCGGGCCTCTCAGTGGATAGTTGTCCTAAAAAGCAAATTTCAAAAAACCCGAGTTATCCCGTCAGTTGGCGGCCTTCAAAGCCACAAATTATAGCCCATCGCGATATTTTTGAGCACTGGCAGGGGGCGCGCAGCGATCGTTCTTATGGAACTCACTCGTTACGTTGTGTCTAGTGGGCTCTCTCGAGCCCAACCAGCAGCCGTTCTTACAGGTCGCGAGTTCGAGCCTCGGGTGTTTCACACTTCGGGGTTGGGTATGACTGGCTGACGACGGCTAATAAGCTAAAAATGGCCATTCCAGTCTTCCTTGTCTTTGTCGGTACTAACAGTTTTGAGCACAGTGATTTGTTATGAGGGAAGGAAGTAGGCGTTCGGTTTGCACTGGATCGGCCTTGCTTCCCTTTCTCCCTTCATATGCAAATTGCATGTCAGCCAAGCTTGGAATGAGGTAAGCGTGCTGCTTGTTTCTCTGCCCCTCTTTTGGGTCTGACACAACAGTACTGACCGTTTAAGATGCTAAATTTGCAAAGGTTCATACATAGTGGTACTCCGGATAGCTCGCAAACATAACAAAAGTATCTCCCTACTCAACAGGAAGTAAGAGGGGCAATTCAAGAAACTTCAAAATACGTGTGATTCAGTTTTGCCAAATCCTTCTCTTTTGTCCGCTAGTGATCTCTTCGTGGGTATGTCATGAACGATCAGAAACATATGCCAAACAGCCTTCCATCACTCCACACCCAGCGCACTCCTGATATTGCATCTGTTTGATGATTGACTTGCAGCTAGGCATTGCGTGGGCTGTTAACTGGCCAGTTTCACACTATCCTAGTATGCTGTAATTGATGACTTAGTGTAAGCAGGTATGACATAGCCGACCGTTAATGGCCTATGGAAATCTGTTGTCCTTCTAAATGTGAATAGTGTGGAGCAGCGCCAGAGAAATTAAAATAGGGATAAAAATCCAGGTTCAGACACGTTGCATATCGAACATTACTTTGTTGTGTTGCGTTCTCCTCAGGTTCCACCACCTCCAAAGCCTAATTTCGGAACTCGCAAACAACCTGCCAGCCAACGATCCATTCAGTGCCTACCTGAACAATCGTCACGTTTTATACTCGTATTCATATTCACTTTTATAACGGTTAATACAGTATCATAGTACGAAAGAGGGAACTGAAGCCCCTCTCCACGACCGAACATTCGATTTTCAAATAGCCTTAAAGCAACTCTATCGTATGCGTATTAGAGTTTATTTATTGATTGGGGCTCAGTTCTGTGATTGACACGCCTCACTTGGCTTCAGAATCCGGTACGGTCTTCTTGTGCTTGGTGCAATCCCTCTAAGCGCATTGTCTGAAGCTGGATGCTCGGTTTTCGTCCTGAGGATTTTTATTGCTGGAGACTGTCCTATCATTTGTGTAGTGACCAAACTTTCTCAATTCGAAGGTCTTTTTGTTACTCGAGAGTTTCTTGAACCCTCACGCCTCGGTTTTATTCAGGCCTTCCGCTCTTATCTGGCGTCCCCCCTCCTCCTCCTCCTCCTCCTCCTCCTCATCATCATCATCATCCTCACCATCCTCATCATCATCATCCTCCTCCTCCTCCTCCTCCTCCTCATCATCATCATCATCATACTTCACTTCTTTCGCTTCACAACCCCGGTGAAAAGGCTGTTTATCAGGACCTCCGACTTAATAGTTAGACCTTCTTTTACTAAGACATACTACGGGAGCTGGCTAGAAAAGGTCGACTGTGAGGTTTAGTGGAAGAGCTGACTCCTCAGATTCTTACCAGGCATTCTACCTCAGAGCCATTGCGTCCGCCTTTTGTCCTGGGTCACCCGTATTCCCATCTGAATGACTCGAAAAGCCCGCCTATTTTTTGGCTCAGGAGATTTCTCTGCTTGAGTTTCAAGGCGAACCTCTCACCCACAGAATAGATACATTTGTATTGAACAGCACTCTCTAGTCGAGAAATATCAGGGAGCAGATTAGAATGACCAGTTTTTGGTTATTTGTCGTCGTCCGCCATCAATAACCCACTTTGAAACTTGGGAGCTCTAAAGATCAAACCCGCGTCCAGCTGGTCCTCGAAGCTATAGTTTTTTGGGAGAGAGAAAAGATAACCGGAACAAGTGTTACCTCGGTCCAGCGTTTTGGATTCATGCTCGAATATCTAGTTTTTACCACAGACCCTTCTATAAAGGCGAACTATGGGACCAACAGGGTGGAGGAACGAAAAGTTTGTGGCAATCTCCGTTTACAAATCCATGTTATTAATAATAACTGTATAGTCAGTATAGTCCTTTTAATTCACATTTGGTCTTTTGAATGTGAGGGCATTTGAACCTTACTAGTGCCTTTACGTCCGAGAAATGCTATCAGAACATGTTGGTGTGACCCTCAACGATCAAGTTACGGGACATACTCGTCCAATTATACTTTGTGGCTCAATCTAGAGCCATCGCAGCCTATCTGTGTACCTCGTTGATTGTTGCTCGACGACTGATGCAGTCAAATAAGCACGACCTTTTGCCGCTTGTTTTTGTGAAAAACGAATGTCCACCAGCGTCATGCTGTTCAACAAGCCATGCCTGCTACTCCTCAGAAAGAAGACATTGTTTACGCCGATTTTCTCGGTATGGAGACTGGGCGAGACTACCTCGACTATTTTGTCCGACAACTAGGGAGACGAAGAAAAATTCAGCTGCACAGCTGGACTGACCGCGGCACAGCTGTCCAATCCAAAAATATTTCATCCGACCAGACTACTCATGTGTCCGGCTATTTGAACTTGACCCTTCTTTTCGGCATGGATGTCCGCCGTTGAAACCCTGCCCAGCTGGCTGCAGCGGCGGCCTCGGAATAACCGAAAAGCATGTTCTTGTTGTTTCTTGGCATCTTCGAGGTTTCCTAATGACGCAGGGACTTTCCAACGTGTTTGGCTTACCGCTTATGGTGTAGACATTTGTTGTCACAATGGTGCTAAGTCTCATTGAGACGTGAAATCGTGTTTTTTGCAAAGGTTTAATGGTTTTAACGGAATTTGACAGCAGAAAGGCCGTTGAGAGTCCATTTTCTAAAAGATCCGCGTACCTCAAATAAGTTGTAAAAGCAAGATTATATGTTGTTGTGGGACAAAAATATTTGGTTTGTACCAGTAGGATTTTTGAACGTTACTGAATTGTAACTTTCGGCCTGCAGTAAAATACTTGCCACTCTTCCGAAGGGAAGTCCAACTAAATTAATCAGACTGTTTACACCTATTGAGCTTCATAAGCCTATCTGGCTGGCAGGGCATTTATGCGTTTCCGGAGAAGTTGGGCTAAGGTGGGATTCACAAAACGGGAAGTGCGTGCAAGTTACCCCGGCATGGCTTCCGATGTAAAGCACTTAGCGTTACAAATGAGGCCCTCGCCGATCTACCACGTGAACAAGCCACCCGCTGCATTTTATTCAGGATTCATATCTCCGGGGGAAGGGGACGAATGTACCAAAAGGCAACAATCGCTTTGGTCCTCGCAGAAGGATCTGTTGAATGAAAGCTCTTCTTTATTTACGGCTCAGAGAGCCCCGCCCGAAGCAGTTTTATGTTACCACTCGTCTACCGGACTCTATTTCAGCGTACTGCCGTCGATACATTTTGCTGCCATCAAGTTATGCGATTCTAAGTTGATATTCTTTTTTTCTGTTTCTGGAATTATTTCGTTGCGCAATTTTTTAACCAATAGAAGTCGATTGTTTTGTCTGCCCCATTTCAACCTATTCGAGCCAAGACAAGCACCAGATACACCTCTTGACCTTATTTAAGGAGAAGAGCCCTAAAGGTACTGAACCCAAGCCACCAGAGTCAAGATAGTCCTGAAATAGCTACGGGCTGTGTGGACAGCCTTTTAATAATCACTACCCGCCGTCAAAGCTCCAAATCCACACTGAGTTTTGTATATACCGTTTGGATTTCCAGTTTCCGGCAACGCAAGCCGTAGGACCACTTGGGAACCTCAGTTAACGGGGCGTTGGCCTTCATCCTAACTCGTGAGATGCAACCTATCTTCAGCAAGGGCTGGTCTGACATGCACTCGTACTTGAGAAATACGACCACCTAAAATGTTATTATTGATATACCCGAAGTTGGCCCGTCTACAGCGGATGTATTACAATTTTTGAGTGCCTTGAAAGGATGACATAGTGTGATTTCCCGGACGTGTTGGCTGCAAGTCACGTTTGTACACAGAAGCCAAGCCTCCTTCAACATCAATACTTTCACTCTCGTTTGGAATATAAGTTAAATCATCTGTTTGGCCGTCCGGTAACCGGGATGAATCCATTCGTCACTTTTCTTGTGCTGCCTCTGATTGTACCATTGGGTCTGCCTCTTAGTAAACCTAAAAAATTAAATCACTTAGTTTGTTTTTTGCCTCCCCTGACAGTTGCTGTTTTGTTGCTTTGGAGCACCTACTTTGTCCTTGTCCTCGTTACTGCCTAAGCATTTTACTTAGGTCCACATTTTTATACGTATCTGTAGCTGGCCTTCCGAATTTGAATCGCGTTCAACTTGATAGTCACCAATGTACGCCCTTTTTGCAGTCAAACTTCGCAGACCCATTGGGTGCCTGTGCGACTTCGAAGATTCGGTGAGACTGCTGAGAGTTCTCTCTGATGTAAACGCACAGGCATCAAGAAGGGGAAATTATTGAACTCGTAATTTCGTCATGAATCAGGGGAAGAATCCTGACGACATGCCTGTCTAGAAAACAGTCGTATATAACTTCAGTGCACATTCTTAGCACCAGATTGGTTACCAATGCCAGTCACTTAGTAAATGTCTTTGAAATTGACAATAACTCATGTCCTTGTACAGAGGTAGTTTACGTGATCTTCATTAGGGGCTAGTTTGACTTCGCAATTGCCGAGAGTGCCTTTTGGAAAAATGTGAAAAGTCGGGAAATTCATACTGTCAGAGTCATTTTCACCCTTTAATAGCCTTTAACCCTCGAACCCCTGAACTACTGACCAGCTGTACAGTTCAATTGATATTCCGTACTGGTTGATTTACAACTCCAGCCTGTTACAGCGTGGACTATGTCCTTGCGTGTTAGCCCGCCTGGTTGCATGATGTGCCCCCCTCCCATTTTCACCTCGCCTGACGCGCAGTTTTCGTGTGAAGTTTCACCAAAATGTTCTGTGTCCAGCAGACAGACCTCCATACCCGCTTCGACTGGCGGCCGAAACCACATGAGGGGAGACGGCGCGTCTCCAATTCAGGTACATCTGTACTCGAATTCTAGTTCGCCTGTTAGTGAAGAACCATCTGTGTTGTGGCATTCGGCGCAAATGGGAGTAAGTACCTGGTCAACCAAAGCGTCCGAGCTGGCCTCCAGCCGTCTTCACGTAGTCATGCCATTGAATCAAAGTTGCTTTGAGGCCAGTGAGGTCGGTGCTCCGCGTTCATTCGACTGCCTCGAGTCGGTCGCACACCCTCCGTGTGCAAATTGAAGTAGACCCAACTAGCCAGTAGACAGCCTGCTGAACGAGAGGTCCATGTATCCGAAATGTTGACCATTTTGGACGTCTGCTTCACTAGTGCGTACGCAAGAACTCTGTCGTTCGATTGAGCAGGCACACCGATGGACGATCACTCACTCCTGCCTTCTCTCAATGCCGGGTTTGTTTTATTTGCACTCGAAGTACGAAGTTTTGCCTTGGACCAGTTGTGAACTTTGTTCAAGGTCGCCAGTAGGACTGTGCGTGCCTCAACTTCAACGCTTTATTTGGAAACTTTCACGCCAGTAAGTAAGCACTCAGAGAAACACTTCACGAAACCACTCGCCACTTTTTCTGTCTGTATTTTTTTCGATTACTGATCATCCTGTCACCATATCTGCTCACTTCTGAGCTTGAGTCCCACCAGGGTGTGCCAATCGACCACACCTTCGATCCGATCCCTCAGCTGTCTCATTTTTGTGCTCCATCTGCTTCTCTCTCCCATTACTTTAGATCCTTGCAAAGCCACTTGCGTCGTTCGTTGTCTGCTCCCTTCTTGCCTCTGGACTCCAGTGATTTTTGCAGACAGCCACCGACTACTTTCAAGTGTGCTGTTCCAGTTTTAGAAGATGAAGATGCGATCACCGTAACAAGAAATTTATTTGCCTGACGTTTCGGATCCTTACTCGAATCCATCATCAGAGACATTAGTAGATAGTTTTCCAGATAGTTTCCAAGATAGTTTTCCGGTTTTCCTTGCCAGAGTCCAACACATGCGCGTCTGACCACTGCCCCGCCGCCAGAGCACAGATGGTCTTCATCGAGCGCAATGGGTGCACTGTCGTGTTTCAAACTATTTGTACCCATAATTACTGCCTTGTCACAACCAAGGGCGTTTACCAGGACCGTAACGCAGAGGTCGGATGCATCTGCTGGCTGTGCGTAAACAACATGTGTCATGGATAATCTCAGAGTGCTCCGGATTACTCCTGTCCCTGTGGCTCGTTGGGGGGGGGGGGACTGTACAGACTATTGGAGGATTTTCGCAATGCGGGCCGAAAACTGGCCACCGAAAGAGTTGGCTTGGGTAAACCGTCAGGATCTACGCATCACCAGTGAGTTAACCGGTGTTGTGATGTCATGGGTATGAAGTGAACAGTAATTTTCGCGACAAATTACCAGGAGGCCCTATCTTTATGCCCCGTGCCGCCTAAATCACGTGCGGCAAATACTGGAACGGAGTGCGGCGTTTTGGAAGTGGTCACCGGATGGAGGAAGGTGAACTTCTTAGGTGTGCGGATGGCGAAGCCGTATTCCGCATCCTTAAATAGGGACGACATGACACCAGTCATCTGGTTTAAGAACACTACATCACCTCTTTTCAGCTAGTAGCTAGTTTTTTTGTGACACTCCTCTTTTTTCTTGCAGTCATTCTGCGAAACGATCACCAAAGTCCCGCTTTTGTCGCTACACTGGCAGCGATAAAATTTCTTCCATAGCGAGATTTTCGGTCTCGTATATTTCGACTGGAAATATCGATTAAATTCGTGAATCCGATTAGTAACGGAGAATATCCGGTTCGAGTGCGGAGTATACTGTCCTGTGCTGCCTTCGAGCTCCATCCTATGGCGTCACCTACAACTACACTGCTTTATGGGGTGCCGTTTCCGACGTCAGCCTTAACGGGGGAAAAATGGTGTTTGAAGTCCCAGCTCTTTTGGATTAAAAAAATACAAGTTTGTGACAGAGGGGTTAGGCACTCGACCCTTAGGAAGACTTCTTTAATACTAATGGGGACAAAAGAAGACAGCGGCCGGATCCGGGTGTGGTGCGGATTATTTGGACGGCGCACTTATGAAGAATGCTACACATTGGGTGTGTGGTTTCACGCCTATGCGCAGGCCGACGCCGCGCCAGCAAAATACACCCAATTCCCACCTCGGAGGGCTGACGGACTCCGGCAGTGGACTGCCGTCTGGAAGAGGGAGGAGAGAGAGAGAGTGAGGCCGACTCTGGGGACTGCGATCCCATTGCACTCAGAGCATAATTATCATCTAAAACAATCTGAAGTGCTCTTAAACTATCACGGTGCGCTAGAAGCCGTGGCTTGCAAGACTGCCAAGTGTAGTGATAAGTCGATTCTTCTCTCAGGACGGAAAGCCAGGCCGCAATTGTTCCTTCCTAATATGGTCCTCCCACTCTCCCACCTGTTTGCTTGTGTGAAACCTGGTCGGTCGTGCGCGGACAAGGCGTGTGTGACGGGCTGTTAAGCCTTACCAGGCACTGCGTCATATCCCGCCTTCTGTCTTTACACTTGACCCAGGTGGGTGGGGCAGGTTAAAGTGCGGTAGTTGCAACACAAGTCCAATATCATTATAAATTAATTCAGGCGCAATTCACCGTCCTTGTGCCCACCATTCCGTGCAGGTGACACGGCGGACATCGTCGTTTATGGAGGTCGAACAGACGGTATGAACAAAACGACAGCATAACTCTCAGAAATACCGTGTCT